TTTGGCACACATGTAGAACATAGTCTGGAAGGACACATAGGCTAATTATTTTTTTTAGACGGAGTCGCGGGCGGCACCTAGTACGTAATTGAAGACGTTATTACCATAACATAAAGTACCCGATAGTATTTGTCAAAGAATTCAAGAAATATTTAATATCGTGTAAGTCAACTTGTCATACATCATAGAGGATCTACTACCATAGGTTTGTGTGTCGACGTCTAGATGGCGTGCACAAGCCCGCGAACTGGGCGGGTCATTGACCCCGTGACATATGCCGTTCAAAATGCGACGATTTATTGTTTTCTGATAGATTTTACCTTTCATAGTTTCGCTAAAGAATTACAGCTATTTCTCTTCACTGAATGTACACTTCCTTTTAAAATTAAGTGCAACTTATAACGGATAAAACGGTAATTTTCCCAATTATGTTTTTTAATTTTATATTCTTAACTTGATAAATAAAGCAATGTATAGAGACTACACAATTTTGTAGTTAGAATTCTAATTTGAATATGTTCTACCTTAATGGTTTCGTAGGCACGATTTAGTAACGTTGTTTCCTTGCCCCCACACCACAACCCAGCTTATCCAATCAACATGCAAAGTGAAAATGCAAAAAAGACAATGTAGCCGTCAACTTCTGCAGCCAAGACCTTACACTCTTACAGTCTTAAAAAAAAGAAAAAAGAAAACATATGTAATGTATAAGGCCAGGCTATAAACCTCAGTATTTTGTGCCTATTTGATCTTTGCCATTTTGGCACTGACGGTTGCGATTCATAGCGGTGGTGAGGATTGGAACTAACAATATGGATAGAATTAACTGTAAGGAGCTTCAGGAGGCGCATCTAAGTCGGAACTATGCAAAAACTGTCATTCCAAAGCAATCACCTTACCATTTATAGAGAACCGTGTATGTAATATTTGAGCAGTGTAAACCCAGAGTAAAAACAACCTCGGCACATCGCACGCGAGGCTGCGGCAAACGTGATATTCAGCCAGTTACACGGATTTAAACACACGGAGCTGTACGAGAGGGACTCTATTTAATGGAAACTTAAATTTTAATAAGCTCGCATATATCACGTATCATTATCACTACTATAGTATTCCCAAGTTTTGTGTTTTTCTCGTAGCGATACCTAATTAATAGTTTTTATTTTCTAATTTAAATTCTTCCATAAATTAAAACTCTCGTCTTTTCATAAGTTATCTTTATATATATAATTCTTCTGTGCATGTGTATGTCACTGAACTTCTCTCAAACGACTGGACCGATTTTGATGAAATTTTTTGTGTGTGTTCAAGGAGATCTGGGAATGGTTTAGATTCACAATTTTGTCCGCTGGACAATGTTTTTTTTAATTTATTTTTAATTTATTAGTAGTTGTTGATTTTGGAATGTTTTACATTGGATCCGACAGACGGCGCTACCATCGCAGTGTCAAATTTTAAATAATATTCGAATTAAAGACGTGTAGACAGGACAACGTCTGTCGGGTCCGCTAGTTGTATTATAATACAACGACGATTATTGTAATAATTTACGTAGTTCAGATTATTCTCGTGAAAGGCAATATAAGAGGTTCACGTTGTCGAACATGCATGTAATGATACTACAGTTGTCTCTGCCTGCCCTTCTTTGTTACGGGAGCGATAATATGCTATATGTTTTTATTATAAAGATGACTACAAATTCGTACTTTTCCAACGCTTTAACACACAATCAATAAATCAGTTTTAATCCTAAGTTATAGTAAGTGCGGTGCGATAGTACAACTAAGTGAGCCATTATAGTTAGCCGAGGCCCAGTTTACGAGTAACACGGCTTAACTTAATCCCCCATTTTATATTATGTGCTTAACATGTCTGTATACGACGATAATCGGAGTTACAACGTCTTATGTACTTAATAAGTAGAACTCTAAGACTCTGCTCTCTGTTATTGACTCAAGAATCTATTAAGTTAAAGTTGGATTAAGTTAATTATGTGATTTGTTTGTTTTATTTGTTATTTCTAAACTTTTATAATTGATGTTTAATTGAAATACAGATTTTAGTAAAAAATTGAAACCAGATATGAGTAGAATGTATATGTAATATTTTTTGAATAAATTAAACATCACTTCCTATACTCATAAATATATTGATTGGGAATTTTCTTTATATAGTAGAAAATATCCTTCCATATTCAACAAAATGCATGAGATGGTCAATGCAATGACTGGATGTGACAGTTTATAAGTCAGAGTAAAGTTACTCGGGTCCGCTTACGTACACACTTATATTATTTTTTGCGATAAAAATATCGAATCCTAAGTTTCAGTCAGCATTTCTTTAGCGCTGGCTCCTACACTTTAAAATGGTGGAAGGTTTAAAAAACAACTTGAGTTGGATTATGATATGTAAATTAGTAGTTAAAACTGTTTGAACTCTTTCATTGTTTCTTTCAGATAAAGTTAGTCTTGATTCTTTTGTTATTAGATATTCATTATTTTGTTGTTTTTTTTTATTTAAATATAAATTTATCTATAATACACCAAAATATAAACTTTAAGTACATGAAGAAAGTTGTTTACTTCACAACACTAAAACAAAACATGTTTAAACTTTAAATTCTTCATCTTGAATTTACTTTAATAAAGATAACATCAAATATAATAAATTTTACTTCACAATTAAGAAGATAAGTGACATTTTCGGGCCGGAAATTTTATTATCATACGAAAAACTGCGATTCAATTGACTAATGCTTAAATTGTTTGGCAAAGTTCGCACATATTAGGTTTAGCATACACTACAGTGATGAAGCTGCTATACTTAATTGGAATTTACATAGATTATTAATTACAGAAAATACTATAAAATAGTTTTACCAGAAATAAATATTTAAAAAAAATTACCAGTCATAATATTGTATTTATATAGATCACAAGACAGATTGCTTACTTTTTGTCTATGCAAACACTTTAATGTATCCGTGCCCTAACATCTTTCTTATACACAGTTCGTTCAACCCTTTGCAAGTGTGTTGTAAAAGTTTAGATTGAAAAACCCAGGGATAAGAGGTTGTGTTCCACTCGTAGCGATATCTCTTTGTATTTATCGGCCAATACCACAAGATGGCGAAAGGAAAGCTGAAATCTACAAGTTAAATGGTTAAAAGTTTTACTGCTAAGTCTGCAGTGCCAAAAAACCTGGAACATCTTCTACACTTTAGATCTTTAAAATTTTAGCTAAACTTTTGGTTGTAAATTTTAATACTTAGTAGTTTTTAGTAGGTTACATTACCTTCAAGAAACAGAGGTGTGCAATAAGTCACAGCCAGTGCTTAGCTGCTCTTGGCCGCGACATACGCCTATGTATTTCTCACCCCGTAAAAATGTCGTAAACCCAAAAAAGGCCGAGTAAATGAATGGCCGAGTCCGGTATTATCGTCCATTAATTTTTACCGCCATCTTAAAAGGACCCGTTTACGATCATAGACTGAGGGAGACAACAACCACTTTCAGGATACATCCCTTGAAAATATGTTATAATTGAATAGATACTGATTTGGTATGAATTTTGGTTTCAAATTTAATTATATTTAGTATCGGAAGCCAAATTCTAGACTTCTTCAACTTTACATCAATCTAATGAGAAACAAAAACGCCTCTAGTTCCTACGACAGGCAACTCTCTGACGTGTAAGAACTTCGCTATTTTAGCGATTCTGAATCATATAGTCGAAAGTTCATTGACCTTACACTCATATTAATGGCTTACACTGACCAACTCACATCTAGATCATGACCAGTCCCAAGCCGCTTTTAATTCCTTTACAGTATTAACTGGGACATGGATTAATCAATTTCAACTTACCTTCTAATTACTCGTTGAAGTTAAAAGGACCAAAGAAATCGTCGTCTGAATAGAGCTAGATAATTCGGATTCAATTTGCGGCTTGTTCAATATAATTTTAGGGACTTCGTTTCCAATTAAGGTTCGTAGACGGCAATCAGGAATTTCACGATTTGCACGTAGAATTTTAGATAGCTTTTTTTCTTTAATTAACATGCGGATTTAAGTCAATAAGAAATCTATTACTACGGAGAGTTAAACGAAAAAGAAATTTGTCTAATACCTAAAATTTTCGATCTTTTAATTTAACTACTATACTTATTTAAGGTTTAATGACTCGTGCAATAATTTAAAGACTTGCGCAGTAATTTCCGTAATCAACAATCTATTTTAAGTGTTGTGTGGTTTAGGATCTTAAATCACAAAACCAAATCGTTTTATCAAGTTTTCATTTTAAGTCTAAAACGTTACAAGCTAGTTACAAGTATTAAGTCCAAAGTTCAGTGACCAGTTTAAATATAGATCCTATTTCTTTTATACTAATATTTATCGGACATGAGACAAGAAATGGACAATATAAATGAACAGAAAACCTCCACATAGTTTTTTTAAGATCTGTATTGGACCGAATCGTAGGAATTTTGTTTATTCTCCGTCATAACTCAACGGCAGTACAATATTGTTGATATTAATCAAAATGCGGCATGTTTTTGACTTGGTACGTGGAGACAGATCGTGATATTGTGCTGAACTAGTAGAGAGAAGATAAATATATTGTCAATTGTTATGGTCGTGACGTGCTGCATTGTGACGTCACGCTCATTGAAGCGGGAATTTAATCACATTGATTCATATACCTGCAGGTTGACATTTTACTCGTAAAATAGAAAATTTGACTTTCATTCGAGACAGTACTGATTCATCATGTTTGTTGTTTCCAATACCTGTTACCTTTTTTGAATCCACTACTTTATTAAATGCTAATATAAAAGTCCGGTTTTTTATTTTAATTTCTCTCTAATATACTTAAATTTTAAATATATAAAATCTTCTGTGTGAAATAGTTCAGTCATTATGATTTAATTTTACTCTATAAGGATATTTTTAAGTTATTGCTTGAGCTATTGAGAAATAAATAAACGAGTTCATAGTTTATATTTTAAGAAAATTCATATATTATTTACAACGAATTACAATTACACTTTTTATACATAAATATTAAGACAAATTTATACAAATTAAACCTATAAAGGTGGTTAAAGTTAAAATATCTTCCTGTAAGAAGATCTATACCAAATGGCACTTACTTATATAAGCACTACGAGTACATACAAAATGTTTCTCTTTGGATTCATTTTATTCCAAAGACAATACTTACACATTTACAATTTACATATGTCTTATAAAATCTTAGAACTTAACTTATACATCGTGGTAACATTTCATTATTAATTTAAAATTTTAATCGAAATAAAAAAGTACAAACAAAAATATTAAACATCAAAAAAATATTGGAACTGAGATCCAATCAATGTGTCACTTTTTGTTGTTTGTTAAATCGTTTTTCGATAAAAAGTAGCAGTACCTACTCAATCTAAGACAAAATCATTAGACTTTTACATTAGGTACTAATTAGAGTGGCATGTATATTTAAAAAACTTCAATAAAACGAATTTCTTGATTTTAAATGCCCTCATATAACTTTTTCTCTCATCAACTTATCGTTCTGTTCTAACAAATTAATATAAATTAAAGCCTCTTCTGTACATTTCCTTTAAACTCTAACTGCTATAAAGGTCTCGCGAACATCAGTCGCTCACTTCCCTGTCGCCTCATGATTTCAGCTGCGGCTGGAGTCGCGACAAACACCGCAGTTTGACCATTCAACTCCATAAAGCTTGCTCTCTTGCGATTCTGTCCACTTAATCTTCTATCCAGTCTTGTGTCAAAGAGATCTTCCGCTTCACTTTGATCGTAATCAACTACTGGCTCTTTAACTGCTTCTATCCTTCGCAAATTCTTCTTACCACCCATAAAATACGTCTGTGACACGTTGACATTTGGAGTAGATATTTGTCGTGTCAGTCTTCCCCCAGTCCCCATTTTCTCCAATGGTGGGAAATGCCTTTGAATATTTTCAGAAAATGATTGTCTTCGAGCGTTAAATCTTCGCACGTCTAGTGGTTGGTGACCGAAGGAAGCTCGTCGAAGAAAACGGGTTTCCGGTTCAGTTCGATACAGTTTTGGATGCGGATCCAGGTTGTGGTTCGATTTCAAAGAATCCTCGTAACTGCAACTAAAATATTATAATTAGGCTTCTTTAAAGTATTTAACCTTTGTCTATGTTATACCTAAAGAATGATCCGAGAGAATTTATGATACAGGAATTTTGTTAACGTTTTAAATGACATTTATCAGAAATTATATTCAAAATGACTGGATCAATTATTACAGTTGGTCTATTTTTACAGTTATTATATTTATGGTCACATATACTACAATCATTGTCTATGGGTATACTGACCCGCTGCTTTCCTCTGAGGTGTGCGTGGTGGAGTGACCGCAGGGGCAGCGGCCGGCCTCTGCTATCCCCGAGTCCTGTCCACTGGAATTCACTGACGTTATCGAAGTGTCCTGCCCTTTCCTAGTGCGGAACGTGTTCGTGTGTCAGTCTATGTTGATTTGTTCATTGAGTTAATGGTTAGTGTTACATTTATGAAGAATCATCGACATTAATAGAATACGAATCGACTCATTAATAAAAGATTTTTTTAGTCTAGTCCATGCTATACACCAAGTACCAATTAGCTTTTTTTTAATGTAAATTTCATCATTGTCAAATGTTAGTGAATTTGAAGCGGCGAAGTGTAACTTGGCATAGTTTATGTGTTATGTCTTGCAGTTGCTTGGTTAGAGTAAGAAAAGTGTAGTTCGCAAAAACAAAAGATCTGGTCAAAAAAATAACCATTTTTAATTAAAAAGAATTAGAGTTTTAGCCAACAGAGTCAAAAGGTTAGGCATAAGTCTGTTAATATTGTTTGAGAAAAATGTTTATTTAAATTTCCACAGCAATTTACAAAAAGTAAGCGAGAAGAAATCCCCAAACCCGTTGACTCGGTTTCATGAATGCAGTAGAACTTGGTCTCACCTCTTCTGCAATGGTCGTTGGTTGTACTTAATGCACATTCTCTCGTGCTTCTGACCGAATACATCGGAGTTTTCACTGAACTGGTTTTTAACGCACTTCTGGTGCGCCTTGCCGAACTCCTCGACCGTGTTACCATGAGGACACGTGTTCTTCAACGTGCTATGGTTGAGCACGTCGATGTAGGAGTCGGCCTCGCTATACGACTGGTTAATCTCCTGGCACTGGTTGCCTCCGGATGGAAAGAGGCCGCTGAATTTTGTAAGGTGCTCAGTGGAGAAAGCATTAAGGCGTTGTTGGGAATATGATTTGTGGCGTTTTCTGTTAGGGCAAAAGATAGAATGGGAGTCAATCATCTAGAGTTATAGACCGGGACTAAGTGATCATTGAAAGAAAACTCTTTTGCATTGAAATTATAATTTATTTAAAGTTACAATTTAACAACTAAATTTAAATAAATAAATAATTAAAATTAATTTATTAGTACGTGCTTTTGGTTGATTTAAATGAAATATTGATGGACATGCTTTCTTTTGTGATGATGATGATGTCTGAAAAGCAATAGTAAAATAAATTGTTACTTACCTCATCACTAGTTAATTATCTTATAAACTGATTAAACTTAATTGCACGGGAAGAAGTTAGCAACTAATACTATCTGTCACCAAGACAATGTTTTAGGGTTTTTAGAGAATAACATTAAGGTTTATATTATTTGTAAGAGGAACATTAGTTATTGATTTATTGAAACATAAAGTCTTAAAATGCCACATTTCATTGGAATTAAACTAAGGCCAAGAAACGTTAAGACCTGTTATTTAAAACTTATTCATTGTATGTGGTAAATATTATAGACTGCATGCATATAAAATATATGTTTATTACAAATTAAATCAATTAAAAAATGACTTCGGCACATCTAGATAGTATGAAGGAGAATTTAAATATGCAAATATAGAATTGAATATTAGTCGAATGAGAGGCGAGCATCGAGCGGCTACAAAGTTCCAAAGGAGCAATAAACGGAACACCAAAGAATCTGTATAATACGAACTCTTAATGGCCCTCACTGAGATTGCAGTCTCTACGATACTTCGGTGACTTTCATTTTATCATCTTGGAAATAACGTTTATTGTATGCAATTGAATATATTTAATTGTCTTTTGAAACTCACTGCCACTGTCGAGTTAATTGATATTCTTAAATTGATGATTAAAAATGAAATTTTACATCCAGAATTCGAATAAGACAGAAAGGGAGATAAAGGTCAAAAAGAATGGAGAAAAGTCCATTTAACAAACATTTTCCTATAGTTAAAATTATCATTTAAATAATAGAGTAGAATATCTTACGTTATTCTTCGATACTTTGTAAACATAATGTGTTTAAGGCCGCCGTACACGGACAAGCTATGAGCATTTGGCGTTCTTGTACAGCGACCCAAAGAACTTAGTACTGTGGTAATCGTGTCATGCGATGAGTGAAGTTGGTTATAGTGTAATATTTAGAGTTAAGTGTGTGTTACCTCTTGTTAGTTCTGACACAGAGTATGCAGACGGCGGTGGTGCAGGCGCCGATGAAGACTAGGCAGCCCAGTGCAACCACGCCGATCTCCATGGTGCTGAGCAGCTTTCCGCTGCGCGCCTGCACTGTACTCGTATCACCCACACTCAGCAGCTTGAAGCCACCGATCTCGCGACGCTCAGACACCTCACGTTTCATTATCAATCTATTGCAAGTAAACGGATAGTCAATAAATGTTGAAAATTGTGAGTGGAAATTTAATCGTACAATTTGCCAAATACTCACTTTTGTAAAACATCCATATCGATGATGGCGTTTGACAAAGGATCAACACCATAAATATATAGATCGGTTCTGTAACAAAAAAAAATATATTTTAAATATGCATTCGTCACATAAGTCTTGATCTCTAAAGTGTATGTACACCGACTGAGAAAACCGTGCTTTTGGGGCGTGATATTAGGTACCCATGTATCAGTTAAATCCGTTTCTTAAAGTAAAAACTTACGCGTGTCCATCCATGGAGCCCTTGAAGCTAGGCTCTAGCCTTCGCACTCGGATGTCATAGCCCGTCATATTAGAGAGGGATCTCGTTATATTTTCCATTCCTTTCTCAACTTCAGTCGGTTTCGCGCTAACCACAAGGATCAGCTGCTTACTTTCATCCAGTACGTATACCTGTTCCCAATTAAAGTCAATCATTTTTTAAGCATTTTACCAATTTACAAAATATTAGGAATTCCACTTAAAGAAATGACATACGAAGACATTAGCGATAGCAGATCGTCCGTCATCAGCGCCGCCGCGGTCGGTAGCCTTCACATCAAAGCCGAAAACCTTGCCGGCGTCATGTGCAAAGCTACCCGCGGTCCGCACCGCGCCGCTGCGGGGGGACACCGCGAAGCGCCCGCCCGCAGAATTAATCACCTGGTAGCGAATATCCGCGTTCAGTCCTATGTCAGCGTCGATAGCCTGTAGAAAGATATTCCAAGATAAAAAGATAAAAATTAATTTGAATAAAGACTATAACAAACATTTTAAAATATAATAAGATAATACCTGCAATTGAATCACTTCGTATCCAAAAGGAGCAGTAGTTGGTATAGCTGTAACCATCGGTCGACCTCCATTAACGAACTTCGGTGCATTATCATTGACGTCTTTTATTCTCACTACAATTTTTACATCATATTTCGTCATTCCCTCCAGCACGTCATCTGACACCGGATAAATCATGTGCGGCAGCTCCCGGCTTATCTTTTGTCTTTCCGCTCTAACCAAAACTTCGTAGACATCTTTGACTTCTCTATCTGGACTTCGGACTAGATATAATGTTCCATTGCGTGGATCTATTACAAAAGTTCTTTTGATATCTGTATCATTTTCATTTAATATGAAATACCTCATTTTGAAATTTTCGTAATGTTCCGTCAAATTCAGAGTGACAAGTTCCACGGGAGTGTGAACATTTTCTTCGATCTCCAGTTCATAATACCTTGATATGAAAACTGGTTTATCTGAGATTTCAATCTCGTCTGGTACGTCTTTTACTGTCAACATAACTATGGCGGTGGAACTTAAGCTCGGTGAACCTAAATCTGATGCGACAACAGTCACGTTATGTACGGATTGAGATTCATAGTCTAACCTTCCCGTAGTGGTAATTATTCCTTCTTTTGAATCTATTGAAAAAATATTCATTTGATTTTTTCTTTGCGGTAAGCTATAAAGTATTAATCCATTTCCATTGCTTATTAAGTCGGAATCATTGGCATAGACTCGTGTGACTACACTTCCAATTGGAGTATTTTCTTCTAAGGTAGTTTTATAGACAGGAATCATCATGACTGATTCAAAATTGTGATTAGAAATATTATCTGCTTCTGGGTGTTTCCATTCTAATAACTCGTCGTAGGCGTAAAACTTAGGCGAATTGTCATTCACATCTAAAACTTCTATTTCTACACTTACGGATGAAGTTAGCTTTTTTTCATAGCCGTTGTCTCTGGCTACTACAGTGAGAATGTACTTATCTTCCTTTTCTCTATCTAGTTCACCATTTATACTTAAAACTCCATTTAATGGAGAAATTTCAAATGGCAAATCTTTACTGTCTGGTTGTAAGAAGTAGGTTAAATTCGCATTTTGTCCAAAATCAGCATCTGTAGCGTCAACTTTTCCAAGAACTCGTCTACTATATTGGGCTTCATCAACATTAAAAGAATACCACGACTTTTTAAACATTGGGAAATGGTCATTAATATCTTTGACAAATATTCGTATTGTAATATGATCACTAAGTCCTCCGCCGTCTATTGCGGATACATTTAACCTAAATTCAGCTTCTGGAGGTAATGCCCTAGCCACAATAATATGTCCATGGCGCTCATTGATAACAAAATATCTTCGTACTTGCAAAGCATTTCCAGACAATGCGGTTGGTGGTATGAAAACTTCAGACATAAATTCATAGCGAATTTGACCATTCGTTCCACTATCCATATCTATAGCGTTTAATTTCAATATTGTTGATCCAATCGCTATATTTTCGGGAACTAAAAATAATGGCCCTGTTGCGTCAACAGCTGTTGAAAACTTGTTCTTTGGTTTAACTTCTATTTTTGCAACGCCACTATTCACGTCATTTTTCTTTTCTTTAAATATTTTCACATCTGTTCTGCCGTGGACCTCTAATAAATCTACACTTTCTCCTAATGGAATAATTATTTGGTTGTACTTCGGTTCATTATCGTTTTCATCAAGTACTGTTATAGTCAACTTTGCTTCAGATTTAAGACTTCCCTTATCTCTGGCGACAACTTTCAATAAATATGAACCTCTTTCTTCTCGATCAAGTTTGTTACCAACATAAGTAACAACCCCACTCAATTCATTTACAGAAAATAAATCGTGGCCATCTCCAAACAATGTATACGAGAAAATTGCATTTTGACCAAAGTCAGCATCAGTTGCTCTAATTTTGTTTGTCATTTTCACTTCCGTGCCCTTTTTAGCATTCTCAGTGATAACACCTTCATAAATGGGGTTGTCGAATACTGGAGGATTGTCGTTTTCGTCATCAACCAATATATTCACTTGATAAATTCCTGCTCCTGATACGATTCCTTTGTTAAATTCGGCGATAACTGTCATTCTGTAAGAGTCACGTTTTTCTCGATCAAGCGGTTTTTGCGCATAGATAGTGCCATCTTGACCTGTACAAAACACAACATTTAAATACATAAACATTTCAACATTATATATAATTTCTCAAAATAACTGAAGGTAAACCATACCAATAGCAATATCATCTGTGACATCTTGTTGATTGGCTATGATATATCTTATATTTGCAGTTTTATTTATTGTAGTACTGCTACTATTCATGTTGAAAATTTGTCCAATCATAGCTCCTGATAGATTTTCTTTAACATGGAATGTGATCGGTGATTGGGTACCTCTAAAATGGCAAATAATTTTCCAAAAATTATACATTAACTTTATCAAGTAGTAATATTGTTTTAATGAAATTGAAATAGCATGTGTTTTATATAGTAGTAATTAAACTTACTTCAATAGGAAACCTCTCTCGTCATCCGCATCCACAACATGTATAGTCGCGTTAGTGGCTATGCTCAAATTGATTCCTTCCTGTATAGCGACCGCCTCAAAGTCGTACATTAGACGATTGAACTTTGATAGTTCGTGTATAACAGTTATCACTCCAGATCTTTCTTCTACCGCAAATGGCACTGACAACAAGAAAGTCATATATAACATTTGAAAAAATTTATGTTTCATTATCAAGGCGAAAAAATAAACTAAAAATTCAATATGGTGATTAAAATTACCTCCTTCTTCATATCCATGTAAGAGATCATAAGATATATCTGGTTTTTCCATTGCTTCGTTGACTCTTATTTGACCAACACTTGTTCCAATGCCGACGTTTGAACCGACCCAAAACTCATACGGTGCGCCGATGAAATCTGGTTTGTCTGTCATTTAAACATTACGTTGAAAGGATGATGTGTTGTAATTTTATTTATTTTTATTTCAAATTCCTATAACTCAAAAGTTGACAAGAAAAGAGATAATATTTTAATTTATTACCTGTATTAGACCTAGTCACATCAACCGTCACCACGGCTAAGGAGTATCTTCTCTCACTAGGATTAGCGGGCTGATCAGAAGCCTCTATAAACAAAGCATGCCTCCCTTCCAGTATTGGAGATTGAGCAACTGTAACCTCACCAGAATTAGCATCGACTTGAAATGGGGAAGTAATCGTTAGATTACTTGTTCTTTGTAAATCGTAGAAAACAATTCCATTGGTCCCCAGATCTGGATCTACTGCTTTAACATTACCGATGAAAGTTCCGATTTTAGCGTTCGATTTGACTGTGAACTCGTACAGATTGCTCGGAACAAACACCGGATTATTATCATTAGCATCGAGTAGTGTCACTTCAACTGTTACAAAAGACATAAGCTGATTTATATCTTCGAAGTACTCGATATTTTCATTCTTGGTGCCTATCTTATCTGGATAAACGTACGTAGTTTTTTCTTTTAACGGCAGAGCGGGTACCAGAGGGTTACGGCGCCATTTTGATAGTCTTTGCTTGTCCAGAAATGTGCCGACTACGCTCGGATTTTTCTCTTTTGCGTACACTTTCATTCTTAAAGAAGAATGCTGCTCTCTGTCTAAAACAGTCTAAAAAGAAATAACGTTTAATTACTTTACATTACTTTTTTGCGACGTCAAAAATTAGAGGCTTTAAGTTACAACATCCAAAACATTACAATATTTCATGTTTACTTGGTAAATATCATATTAACAACCTTAACTATTAAAATAATGTTATACTGTTGTTTTCGGGTCAAGGATTACTGTATTTAAGTATTTCTGTGTCCGCAAGTACAGAAGTTGTTGTTTAATGGAATGTTTTGTGGGATCTAGGTAAAAGTATTAAGCACAACTTAACGAATTATGTTTGTACAAAAGATAGTAAAAAAAGTTTACAAGATTTATAGGGCAGGACTAAAAGATCCTTTGAAACATTTCTCTTAATGAGATATTATCAGGAAACTTTAGTGTGGGTTCTTCAGTCTTTTTTAGTGTTCGTAATCTTAAATAAACACTTATTTTAAAGACTTTGATAAGAGGAAAGCATCGTCTTTTGAAAGATAAAAAGTAAGAGGCGTCAATATATTTATATTATGCTAAGAAATATTCCATTAACGTTTATCTTTATTTTCCTATTCCTAAATTATTCCACAACTGTTGTTCTGTACATACCTGATTCCTGACTGTGAGCCACCCGCTCTTGGGGTCAATGGAGAACGCGCCCTGAGGGTCGCTCAGCTGGTACGTAAACTCTGCGTTGTCCCCCTGGTCCTTGTCCGTGGCCATCACTTGGAGAACACTGAAGCCTGTGTTATACAATATTATTACTGCTTGAATATCACAGAAGTTGTATTATGAAAACATATGAGGAAAATTGAGATGTCTTGCTTTTAAAATTTAAGACCGGAGCAGCCGCAAATTATTTAAGAGGGCCATTGATTTGGCACAAAATTGTGAAGAGAAGAAAAATACGATCAGTATAAATGCAACTAGACAAAACAGAAAACGGGACATTAGTAGAAGTACCAAAAGAAGACATCAGAATGACAATAGTAACCGTTGGGTAAGTTCTCGACGATGCTGATGTTGTAGAAGTCGACCTCAAACTCGGGCAGGTTGTCGTTGAGATCCAGCACCTCGACTTCGATACGGGCGCGCGCCGCACGCCGCGGGTCGTCCACTTGCACTGCCTGCACGCCCAGCACAAACGTATTGCCTGAAGACACACAGATACAATTGTTAACTCTTAACTGTTCCTACATGAACAACATGTGCTAGTAAATCAAAAACAAGTCGGTCGGTCATTTTATTTTAGATATTTTATCACTACTTAAAGCTCTAACTGTTCATAATTGATGATTATACAAGCCTCCAGCTAAGAAATCGGCAGTTATAAGTTTCTCCAGCACAGATGTCATTTTACCAGGCAACGACTCAGCGTCCAGATCGATCTCAGCGTCGAGGAAGAGAGTGGCGTTGAGGGGACCGAGCGAGAAGCGGCGCGTGTCGCCGGAGATCAGCTCGTAACGCAGCGGCGCGCCCACACCCGCGTCCTGGTCGAACGCTCGCACCGCCTGCTCGAACACCAACTCCTTGTGGATGCGTTTGCCCTGACACAAATAAGAACATTATTAGTATAAAATTACGAGCAGTGAAAAACCAGACCGCACACTCTTTAAACTTTGCTTTAAGTGCTCACCAGTAGAGGATAGAACTCTGGTATCTTGGTTCTGTAGACGTCAAGCGTGAATTTCGGCGGCAGGTCGTCATTATCCGCCACTATGACGTGTACCGTCGTGTTGGTGCTGCGCGGTGGCGACCCGCGGTCCTGGAACATACGTCATAATTAGTAACATCGATAAGTAAGTACTGCTCTTAGAAGATATGTACGTAATCGTTACATAATATACTAACAGATGCAGTAATAGTGAGTAGAAACTCGCGGTCTCCTGCGTCGTAGTCTATTGATTTGGCGAGCACGAGACCTGGCTTATGCGGCCCCTCCAGGGCGAACCTGCCCGCAGGGTCACCGCCCGTGATACTGTACTCCACCTCGGAGTTGGGAGTGTTGGGCTTGTCGCGATCAAATGCACGAATGCCTTTGAATATTGTCAGACCTGTAATAACAACATAATCAAGATGGTCGATTGCTTGATTAGCCACTTGGTACAATGAAAAAAAGGGAAATTGTGTGTGTACCGGGAGGTGTGAGTTCGTCTACGGTGACTCTGTAAGGCAGGTCGAGGAAGCGCGGCGCGTTGTCGTTCACGTCCTCTATGTACACAGTCACCGACAGGTACGCCGAGATCTGAACAAGAAATATCATTAATGATTATTAAACTTTCAAATCAAATTACTTATTGTGTACAATCAAAGAGATAAACGATTATACTAGAAAACGTTAAAGTCATCAACATAACATAATAATTTTAAAACTTCTATGAGAATATAGAGATTACTATTCAAGACTTTAAATAGAAAGCTCTCACTGAAAATCCTTTATTTCAATTGACCATCCACTATAGATATTAAAAGTAAACATTGTTTAAGATTTAAAGGCTTGTAAATATCGGTATGATTGAGCAGAGGCATGCACAAGGCAACTGGAGTGGAACAGAAGGCTTCAGCGGCGAGCAAATAATTCAACAAAGGGAAATGGGTGAAGGCCGGCGGCAATGGCGGCTGTATGCGAGCGATGCCGCTTTACACACCATTATTAAATTTATTACGCGCTCCAATAGACTTTTTATTTAATATTAATAAACTCCGCTCTAAAGAGGCCTCTCTCCGTTCCTCAAATTAATAAAATATCTAACGTTTACATAGGATGGATATAGTGACGGATTAGAAAGGGACTGCACATAAACAGAAGACAATTTAAGTAGTATAATAATATATTTCATAAGTTGTGCTGAAAAGGTCCAAAATTAAATATTTCTAATATTGCTTATCCATCCTTGTTCCAACAAAACCGTCTACCTTTTATCATAGTTTATAAATATAAGAAAGGTCTAACAAAAAACCTTTAAATAAATAAGTAAGTATATAATTAACGCTTATCTTAAACAGGCGTGAATGTTTTTTATTATGGTAATATTATTTTTTGCAGTAACAATATTACGAAAATAAATTTAACTTCCAACGCATCAAAAATTTTGCGTTTCGCTAATTACTCTTGTGGCTGCTGAAAAGCTTTTATGTAATTTTAAACTTTATTCTTTATGTATTGAGGTAAGGCATTAAACTCTGTCGGCGGCCGATAGAGGTCGTTGGCATCGCTCAATCATCTCTCAGTTTACGAGGAGAGGTGTCGACAGCGATTGTAGAATTTGTCGATCTTTTGTTTCCTGTACGACTGCGGAATTCGACAGGATCGTGGATAAGTCGATTTCTAATTGCCAATTAAGATACAGAAAATAGCATTAATGGATAAATATGTATTTTACCCAAGCAGATATATAGATATAAGCATTTATAACAGAGAGGTTCTATGAAACTATTATTAAAAATCAAAACCCATTTTTTATTCTGGTTTCTCGTATGCAGTAAATATATTTATCTTTGCCACATTAAAGAATTTTGTAAAGAAATATATCATGTCTTTTTCAAGTACAAAAAAGCGCGAAATTTATTTCGTCGTTGCAAATGTGAAAAAGAGCCATCTAGCAGCGAGGAAAAGAATCGTTTCTGGATTAAAATAGTTCAATAGTTTAAGGAAGTTTTACCTAGATGGCAGCACTTGATGCATTTCAAGCGCCATCTTGTGACGAGTGGAAAAATCGTAAAAACTTTGAAAACCAAGTAGTTACAAAAGTAAAACCTAGATGGCAGTATACGGTGATTTTCATAATTTGAAAGAATGGGAGTTGTTTTGGTCTTTTGCTTCGTGTTTACTTCTTTGCAAATTTTACATAGTCTATCAATGTTACTAATTGACAACCTATGTCGCTCTAACAGCAATGTTAGTTGCGTTATACTCACTAGGTCGTCTCCCGTGTGGAAGTCGCAGCCGAGACGGAACTTAACGACATTCTGAGGGGCGTCGCGGTCGACCAGGTGGTCCACGCTTTGAGCCAGCAACACCGCCACGTGAGTCCTGTTCACATCGCGGTATGTGAACAAATGAGCGTCTTCTTCCTTGTCCACTGCTTGTAACACCAAGTTCTTCCTGAAACAATAACAATAATTTTAAATAAGACATTAACATCAATAAAGTAACGTATGCAAGTTACCCAAAAGGTTAGGCGGAAGTTATTGCATTACTTCTAACCTGCTGTTGCCTGGCAAACCTGCTGTACGATGTAATAATAAGATTTTTAGGGTTCCATACCTCGTTTTATTTTAAGTGCGCTACAAACTAGTAGACTTTTTATGCAAATCGGATCGACCCTACGTAAACGATCGTTTTCCACAGTTGAGTCATTGAAACAAATTTTAACGTTTTTGATACTAAATTTTAATGTGTGTCAACTTTGACGTTCGCTTCTCATATGTTACAACTATCTCTTAAATACCCATCAACTATATTTAGAACATAATTACTTTGAAAGATGAATCACTAATGATAAGCATACAAAAGCCTTAAGAACTTTTCGGATGATTATGACATAATAGGTTCCGCTTCCGGAGCTGGCAGTGCGTGGGAATTCTTTCGTCTGACAAAGAATTGAGTTAGCTACTAGACATGATCTATAGCCATCTTATGGTGGATAGATTGGTGTGAATTTGGTGGTTTTAAACTGTCAGGTGCGGAGATCAATAGATATAATAATAAGAATAAATTGTAACGGACAGAATTTACAAAACGTTGTTGTTTTAATTTATATTCAGTATACATTATTCTCCGGAATGAATAGAGATACACACAAGGAATTTATTCAAAATTCATATTATAATTAGAAGCTTTTCGATTAATGTTAGAAAGTAAAAGTCCTGTAATGAAGCAGATAACGGGCGATGGTCGATGGTCGCTGTAATCATTGCAAGTCGCAAGAAATGTTATAAAAGTGAAACTAGAGTCATCGCTCTATAATTGAATAAAAACAGGTCTCCTTAACTGTAGTTTATTTTTAACAATTAAATAACAATGCAAATTATAAAAATTCAAATAAATTTTACACTTGCTGACAAGTTTTACTACTGAAATCAATATTTGACCAATGATTCCTAACGATGAAGCAATGTTTTAATATTGTTATTGCAATCATTTAAATGTAAACCAAACAGATTTAAAATCGTAGAATAAAATAACTGCGGATGAACAAAAATGGTCTGATATCGAATTTAAATTTCAGCCGTAAGTAAATAAAAATAAACAGTAATATTAAAACGAAGGTTATAAATTTCAGGTTAAAAAATTCGCGTAACATTTTGATATGTAATTAGGGCGAAAGTGTTTCGTCAGTGTGTTTGCGTATTTCGATATGTAGTCCGCTCGATACATCTTGAGTCAATTGTCGAGTCATTCGCTAACATGTTCGTAATTACCTGTCAATGGATACAATCCAATTGATGTCGAGATGATGCATGTATAAACGAGCGGCTGAAACGCGTTTTATAAACGCTTGTTAGCTTAGGGTATTATATCGTGAAATCCACGTATATTGCCGAAATCAATATTCTATCTCAAATTGATTTTGCTACTTTTAATTACATAATATTTTTAATCCATTTGTATAAGATTATAAGATTTAAATATTGTGTTATAACAGAAAGTATCGAGGAACAAATATTTATGACAAAATTTGTTGAGCTGATGTGATGTAAGTTTAAAGCGTTTTAATATCGTTTGTTTGTACCGGCCAATACATAAACGTGTTGTACTTTTAGTCTCCGCATTGCGCAAGGATGTGTTCAGCCTCGCTCAAAGTTCTCTGTTAATATGAACTGTTATCACACATACACACATGAATACTAAATTATACGAGATAATATTCTATGAGATGGCATTGAATACAATATTTACATAATTACAAAAGTAAGTTTTTATTATTGTAAAGGTCATGTAAATGTTTTAGTTTAATAGGAAATGTCACATAAGTATATTATCTTTATAATGTACTAAAATAGAATAGAAAATTAAAATTTGTAGTACAAAGTATATATACTCTATATATTTCTCTATATATTTTAATAAACACAGTTCAAATCAGTGTTTACCAGTATGAGTGATAGTGTTAACTAGGGCATTTCTTCACGCTCCGTGCGAATACTACCAGTTCGTTATAATTACCGCACTCTTACTATAGTATTTGATTTATTTAAGTAATTCTTATTTAATGCATGTCTGTTTACAGAATTAGAAAAAATACTTGCTAAATTATAGCTAGTTTAGCAAGTATTTTCCCCCTGACTCCGTCCGCGCAGATTTAAATCCTAAGTGTTCTTCCTGACATGTTCTACATCCATGTTAGATTTCATTGAGACCCGTTGAGCCGTTCTTTAGAAGATGTTGAGATCTCCAGATCACTTCTAATAAACATTCGCATTTATAATATTAATTAGATTATATTTCTTCTACAGTATTTTTATCGTTCTCATTTACAACTAAATCAATTGATGATGTAACAATATAATGCAATGCAATCAAACATGTGCACACATGCGGTAAGTTACGACAGATCTCTAGAGAGCATTATTTACCTAATCGTAGCTTAACATTTTTTAATAAAGATGTTAATATCTTTGAATACAAAGTGGATTATGTAGCAATGATTTTACGATGCAGTTGCACATTTATTGCAACTGTTTAGCAATGCAACAACAGAAGAAATGTCTAGGATATCAATAATTTATACTTCTTCCCTTTCCTTGAGAAGAAGATGGAAAGAGAAAGTGGTTCAGATGCTATAAGATCCACTTGACGCCTATTTTCTGGAGCCACATCGCACCGGAAGAGCGGGCATGCTAATCCGGACTCTATCGCCGTTTGTTTCTCATACACGACGACATGACGCGATGATATAACATGATGTGGTTATTAAACATGTGTAAATCAGCTGTAAACCGGTTAAAAAGTTCAGGTCACTTAGACTTGAACTGTCGTACGGCTCACAGGTCATCGCGATGTACGATGGTCACTCATAATTTCAACTCGTAACACAAACTCTGTGAAGTTACAAGTTGAGCCGAGTTCACGGATGGGCTCGCCTTCACACACGTGAAGCAGGCGGAATCAGATATCATCAGAGTATAATCTAATTAACCTGAATACAACCGCTATGTAAATGAGACATTATTATTAGTACCACCATCTGTTTATGATTTAGAGTGTAGTATGACATACTTCACATAACAGCAGTGTTGTAAAAGTTAACATTTTATTTACTTTATTTTATTATACACTTTATTGATTCACTCACGCACACTCACTCATAGCGTACAGGATATTAATCTGTTCAAATTTCTTGGCGGCCAACGATCAGCACACTGCGCAGTGCCCTCCCCCCGCATCCCGATACACCTCGCTACACCAAACATTGTGTTCTGCGCAGTAACTCCCGCGAAGTTAAGAGCGCCTAAGATATTTGAAAACTATAATACCTTTAGAGTGATTTATTTTCTATCATAACGCTTTGGTAAATGAATCAAAGGAAAGGTAAACTTGAAAGAAAGATAAATATCACTTCAAAATTAAATAACCTAGGTACCATGATAAATGCCCGCACAGTTTACTTTGACCGCAACATAAAAATTAGATATAAATGGCAAACACATTTCCCTTTAAACTGTTCTGTAACAACTGTGTAAATAAATACTAACAACGTATTAGAACAACGCGTTTTCCCTTTCAGTTATATTAAAGTTTAGTTTAATTGTGGTCTAATCTACTTAGCAAGCCATACGTATTATGTTGATAGTTCAGACTCAATGAGATCATATACAAGTACGCATTCAGGTTAACGAATCCTCTGGAATGTGTCGAAGATAAAAGTGTTGTGTGCAAATTTCTATTGAATATTAATTTTGTTACAATCGACTTACGATGTTGTTTGTTGCCTTCGTTCAATTATTTTAATATAAATATTATTTGCGATCTAAAAATAAAAATAGAAAAAACTATTTGAAATAATTTTGGTGCCAGTAAGAAGGTAAAATCGATATTATATGAGTAACGTTACATTTATTCAAAAGTTTATTTTGGTTTGTTTATGACGATGACTAGAGAAATGGAAAATTTACAAAATAAAACTGATTATGAGTTAAAAGAAGAATTTATTGACGTAATAAACAAGGAGAACGATAAAATACCTTGGAAATATGTTTTACGACAGGTGAGTTCAAAAACTTATCATCCTACTATAATTACATCCCAAAAATATATTTTTTTATTCTAATGCGTAAGGAGACACGAATAGTCAAGGAACGAAATAAGGACCTGGTATATTCTATAAAAGTAGCAATTGACTATAGTCAAAGGTAAATTAACATTTGTTGTGTTCGCTTGATTGTCACGTAGTATTGGAAATATTTCCAGGTTTTAATATCATCTGGTGTGTGGGCGAACTTCTTCACGCTGGGTCTGTGTTTGGGCGCGCCCACCGTCATAGTACCCCAGCTGCGGCGAAACGCCAACTCTACTGACGTCGTCAGCGATGACATGCTCTCTTGGTTGTGTAAGTATTACGTTGTTGGTTTATTGTTCAAAATTCATTAAGTTATCATCACTAAAGTCTACATAATATTACAGTATATAAGGCTTGTTATTTATTTCTTATGGTATATATTTAACAATTCATATTATTATTTATGTTTGCAGCGTCCTCGTCCAGCTATAGCGGCATGCTACAAGTTGTTATCCTAACCATTCTGCCGAGCTGTTTAGGAAGAAAACACTGTTTCCTCTTAGTATCCATAGTAGCTATGGGTGGATTCGTGCTCCTCTATATTTCTACAACGGTAACTCAAATATTAATAAGTACGATAGTTCACGGTATCCTCAGCGCAAGTCATATTACTATCAGCATCATGATTATTACAGAATACTCTTCGCCACAATACCGTGGAATATTTTTAACAACGAAATCCGCGTCGTTCTTGTGGGGAGTTTGGATATCGAATATCATAGGCACCTTCTTTCACTGGAAGTACATCGCTTTAGTTGGAATTGTTACAACTGCTTACATCTTGGGTACAATATTATTGTGGCCGGAATCTCCTCTTTGGTTAGCGAGCAAAAAGAGGTTTGGAGAATGTGAAACGGCGCACTATTGGCTGAAAGGAGACAGTTCCACGTCAAGGAAAGAATTAAGAGATTTGATAGCCTTTTACAAAGACGATCCAAGATTTAGCCCTGATAAAAGAAATTCCACGAAAAATGAAAACGAGATTATTTGGAAGAAAGGTTTTTACAAACCCTTAATGCTGACAATATTAGTCAATCTGTTGTACAATTCTTTGGGTAAAATGACTTACGCAGTTTATGCTTTTGATATTTTAAACAAAATAACAAAATCAGAATCTACAGCGTACACAGGAATGCTTGTATTAGATGGTGTTACTTTAATAGGCGCTTACATAGGAAGTGCTCTCTCTAAAATAGTAAAAAGACGACCATTCATGTTGATAACCACTGTTGTCGGAATTGTTTTTCTTTATCTTTTATCTTTGTTTATATATCTTGTTCATCTAGATGTTGTAGCTGATAATATTTACGTTTGTCTCGTCCTCTTATCTTTGTACTCGTTAGCAGTAAGCAGTGGTCCATTAATTATGTCTTCTTCATTGATCAGTGAATTTATTCCTGTGACACACAGAAACATATTTACATTGATTATTGGCATGTTTGGGAATTTCTGTTTTGCAACATTCTTAAAAATAACTCCGTATCTTTTTTCTTTATGGGATTTTGCTGGTTTGTTTTTGTTTTATGCAATACTCTCTACAATTTTTACAATTTCACTTTACATTTTCTTACCGGAAACCAAAGACAAAACTTTATTGGAAATTGAAAGATTAATAACTAAAACATAGCGGCTTAGTCGATATTTATTGAAAATAAATTTTTGTATATAAAATGCATTTTATTTTACGCCAATGAAAGTAATAAATTTTATATTATAAATATCATCACATTACTACTCTAAAGGGCTTCCTACAAGAAGGATTACTTTTTTTTTACGTTTTATAAGCCAGCGCTTGACCACGATCCCACCTGGTGAAGTGGAGACTTGGTCGAAAGATGGTACGCGCTAGCTTAGTAAGTGCCTATTCACTCTATTACAAATTCTATTTTGATCAATAATTTTATAGTGCAACTTGCGTACCATTTTTACCATCTCCAGCGACTGATAATGTGAATTGGGCCGCGTGGTAAGAGCCGATCCGCTAGTACCTTCATTAAAAGCCGTTCTTCGTTTGTCTAGCGAGTTTTCCGGAGCAAAAGCAGTAGCTGGAGATTCGTTAGTCTAGTTTTATCAGATAACACATATTAGCGGCACTCCTGAACATCAAGTAGAGATGTTTTTTCATACAAAAGGATTACTATAAACGCGTTAGACAAAAGGCGAATATTTATGAACATGAGTAAGTCTTGTAGTGTGTAAATTACTAATTTCAATGATTACCATTGCAAATAGTTATTTTAACTAGTTTACCTGCTTTAAAGGTAACACTGGGTATGTAGGTCAAATAATTAATTTGTTTGGTTTTATTTTAACTACTTTATAATGTTTAATTAAGATATAAAGAAGTACAAACTTTTTTATCTTTAATACGTGGAGTTCTTATTTCATTAACAACAAAAAGGCCAATCTATGATAAGGAAAAACAATTTGACAAACAGATGATCTTGTGATAGTCACAATAAAGAACACTTGTATAAACGTAATTATTGAAACAAAACGTTACTTTTCTTTAGAATGATAAAAAGTATTTTGCAAATTTTAAGATGAAACATAATTAAAAAAAATTGTACATTAAGAAAAAATAAATAAATATTATTTTGTGAAGAAAAAGATACATAAGGTAAGTACACAATTTTAGTTTACCCAATAACTAAACAATATTTCTATTGCTGGACTTTATAACTATTATACAATTACTTAACATTTTAATAACAGCAATGGATAGCTACTCGTACAAAGAAGTTGTGGAGGAGGAAGCAGATCACAAGAACATTCAAGGAAATAAGATTAATAGGACTTCGTTGCTGCGCCAGGTAACAAAGACTAACACTTTTAAGATTAGTAAAGATATAATTCAACGTTCTTGATATAAAACGATGGCCTAAGCCAACGATAATGTAAATTATTGTGCATTTTCTAGATAATGGTTTGCAGTGCAATTTGGTCCAGTTATTTCTCGTTAGGCCTTTGTCTCGGATCGCCCACAGTAATCATTCCGCAAATCCGGCGAGAGTTTAATTCGACAGATGCAATAAGTCAAGAAATAGCCTCATGGTTATGTGAGGACAATTTTGTAGAAGAATTGTTATTTTTTATATGTTTTCAAATTACTAAAAAAAATTTTGTTTTCAGCTTCAGGAATTGCGTACAGCGGAACAATACAAGTGATTATATTTTCAATTCTGCCAAAATATATGGGACGCAAGTCGTGCTTTCTACTTGCTTCATTTATATCTATGATCGGTTTTGTTGTGTTATATTTCTCAAAAACTGCGACACATCTTATTATTTTTGAATCCATTGAAGGAGTTCTATTCGCCTGTCAAATTACTATCTGCATCATGATCATCACTGAATACTCATCGCCGAGATATCGAGGTATTTTCTTGACTATGAAATCTGCATCATTAATGTGGGGAGTGTGGGTATCCAATGCCATAGGAACTTACTTCCACTGGAGCAACATTGCTGTGGTTGGATGTGTTACGACTGCCTATATTATAATAACTACTTTAAATTGGCCCGAGTCACCTTACTGGCTTGCGACTAGAGGTCGACTGAATGAGTGCAGAGTTGCACATCATTGGCTTAAAGGAAATAGCGAAGAATCTGAGAAAGAACTTCAAAATCTTATCGAGCGGCAAACAGATTTATCTCGCGACGAAGAAAACGATCAAGAAAATTTAAAAACGTTATGTACTGTTATTAAGAGAAATACATTTTACAAACCTATGTTATTATCCATGTTAATTTTAACACTGTATAACTCATTGGGCAAAATGGCTTGTACAGTCTATGCTATAGATATAATTCAACAATTCACAGGCAGTGAGTCCAGAGCTTACACTATAATGTTAGTACTCGACGGAGTAACTATTGTTGGTGTGTATGTGGGCTGTGCTATTTCCAGATATGCTCGAAGGAGATCCTTTCTAATTATTACTTCGGGTTTCGGCATAATGTTTTTATATATACTATCTTTGTTTTTATACTTGGTGTCGAGTGGTATTGTTGAAAATAACGTACATATGTCTTTGTTGCTGTTGTTGTGTTACACAGTTACAGTCAGCGGCGGCCCCATGATAATGAGCACGTCTCTGGTCAGTGAACTAATGCCGCTATCTAATAGAAACATGTTTGCTTTTCTTATCGGAACATTTTCGAATTTCGCTTTTGCAACTTTTATAAAAATAGCTCCTTTCCTCTTTACATCTTATGGTTTTGCAGCAACATTCTTCATTTACGCTTCCACAGCTTTGTGCTGTCTCATATTGATCTTCATTTATTTGCCAGAAACAAAAGACAAAACTCTTCTTGAAATAGAACAATTGCATACAAATAATGAACCGAAGAGCAATAAGCAAAGCGAACTGCGGAAGGAGTAAAATTATTTTTCTGTTTTAGCCAATATTGACATCAAGGTAGCCCAAAATTTGTTTACCAAATATAAGTCGATTGAACATAGAAATGTGTTTGTTTTCTATATGACTAACTAAAGCCCATACGAAATCCTCGGAACTAATATTAAGCTATTATTATACAATTTAACACAAGTATTTTTTCTTTTATATTATAACAAGCAACCTGTTCCAGCTTCGCTTTAGTTATTATAAATACAGGCTATGTAACTCGGCGATAGCGTAGTTTTTGAATTTATTAGTTAAATACAAACATACATATATTAACTTTCATAATATTACTATAGATAATACTTAGACGTTAAAAATAAATTATTACGATAGAGTTAATTGAAACATAAAAACAAGCAAATTAACAAAGATAAACCCGCATTGGTATGCGATGCAATGTTAAATATGTATTTAAAATATTCTTGCTTCAGTAGACTGTTAAAATGTTCTCTGGAGGATTTTAATGTAAATTAATGGAAACATTGAATAATTATGGCATCGGTCGAAAATTATATTTATAAACAAGTTAACACAGATGTGGAAAGAGAAGAAAGTAAGTCTAAGAATGGGGAAAATAAATTAAATTGGATTCTGCTCTTACGCCAAGTAAGTTAAACAAACTTTTTGCAACTATCTCATTTGAAAATTGTAAAGAATTATTACAAGTTATATGTATTAGATATGAAATGCCAGTCCTTACGTTACCTAATAGACATTTTCTCTAATTTAATTAATAAAATTTAAAGTTTATGCAAGTAAAATAAAAATATAGAGCAAAGTTAGAGAGCAAAAACATAAAGGATGGCATTAGGTGAAGTTTTAATAAAGGAAAATTGATTAAAGTTATTTCCTTATCATACTGAAAGTTTTTTTTGGCTTAAAGCTTATATTATTTATTGGCAGATGATGGTTTGCAGTGTAATCTGGTCTGCTTATTTTACGAATGGTCTCTGCATTGGCGCTCCTACTGTTATCATCCCTCAAATTCGTCGCGAAGCAAATTCAACAGATGTTATCACTCAATCCATGGCATCATGGTTATGTATGTTTCGCCCTTTTAAAGTAAATTGCAAACATGTTAGCGGTAGTTTCGCTAAAATAGCAAAGTCACTCTGCCCATAGACTTATAGACATTGGCACTATTTAAAACGGTAGCATATATGTTGCTTACCTTTTTTGGTCAGGGAAGGGGATTTACAGAAAAAAGATACTTCTTCCTATACGTCCTGTCCAACGTGAAATACACATTCCACATTCTCATCTTTGCGGAAAATGAATAGAATTTGGTCTTCGACATTCACACTCATCAGAGGCTTGTCGCCTGTGTGGTCGTAGTATTGCTCATGGCGAAGAGGCCATTCGCAGCCAATTCTTCCGCGGATTCTACCATTGTTAAATAATTCAATGTACTATCGAAGCGTTGGTTACTAACATTTATTAATTTAACTATTTCAGCGTCCACGGTCTCCTACGGTGGAACAGTGCTGGTGATGTTCGTTACGGTTCTACCAAAATGTATGGGACGAAGGGCATCTTTCTCTCTTCTAACAATGGTAGCGCTGATCGGTTTCTTGATATTGTATTTTGCTAAAACGTCAACGCATCTATTTATTGGATTATTTTTTGAAGGAAGTTACTTTGCGAGTCAATTAACGATATCTGTAATGATAATAACAGAATATACTTCACCTCGTTATCGAGGAATATTCCTAACGATGAAATCTGTGTCATTTCTATGGGGTATCTGGATAGCTAACACTATAGGAACGTTTTGGCACTGGAATAATATTGCCCTACTGGGTTGTGCTGCGACATTGTATAATTTGGTAATAATTGCAAGGTGGCCGGAGTCACCGTACTGGCTGGCCAGTAGACAAAGATTCCGTGAGTGCGCGAGCGCTCAGCGCTGGTTGAAAGGTGACAGAGAGGAGTCGAACTGGGAATTGGAAAATTTAATTCATCGGTATACAAATCTGAGAGAAGAAGGAGTAAGGAATAATTTACAAAATTATATAACGAAATATTACGGAGTTTTAAAGTCTAGAAAATTTTATAAGCCGCTTTTACTATCGATGTTAGCTATAACGCTTTATAATTCTTTAGGTAAAATAACGATTACTGTTTATGCAATAGATATTATTAAGAAAATAACCGGCAGTGAATCATCAGCTTACACAGGAATGTTAGTTTTGGACGGGGTCACTATTGTGGGTATGCATATTGGTTGTGCCATATCCAAAATTGCAAGAAGAAGATCATTCTTATTTTTGACATCGGGATTCGGTATTATGTTTTTATATTCATTAGCGTTGTATCTATTCATAGTGGGATATTATGGTATAAAGGAGAACATGTATGTATCGTTATTATTATTAACATGTTACACTTTATCTATAAGCTGTGGGCCTATGATAATGTCGACATCTCTCGTGAGCGAACTCATTCCATTGTCGTTTAGGAATGTATTTGCTTGCGTATTATCTTTCTATGCGACCTTCGTTTTCGCAACTTTTATTAAAATCGGCCCCTTTCTATTTTCCACATGTGGATTATCAGGAGCATGCTTTATCTACGCTTCTTTAGCAATGATTTGTTTGATATTGTTGTATTATTTTTTACCAGAGACAAAGGACAAAACACTTCTTGAGATAGAAAATTTATTTGTTAATTCGGAACGGGAAAACTTTTAGTACTATACAAGCTGTCGCTCGACGACTCCGTCCGCGCATAGTTACTGAAAACCTAATTAGTAGCCTAGTTCTGGAAACACATTTTAACAAACATCCATCCAAACATACAAACTTTCGCATTTAAGTATAATATTAGTAGATTAGTTTTTTTTCTCAGTCAACTTAATAAGGGTAAAGACAATTTATTGGGGAAATCTGATTTAGATTTATCTGCATGCATAAATGTATACACTGTTCTATCCTTTAACCACAAGTTTAAACCATATAAAATATATTTTTTTACAAATAAGTTACTTTTAGAACATTTAAATTAAATTCAGAGCATTATTCAACTTCGACTATACGACCTTTTTGGTGATTTATAATTCTTAATGTATTAAATAAAAAAAACCTGGTATTATCGTGTTAAGACAACAATTTGCACATGTAATGTATTGCATACCGTCTCGCAGGTTTTTAACTGCATGAGCGGCTTCTATTAATAAAATGTTGATAATTTTAATTACAACAATGCAATAGAAGCTGATTAAAAACTATCGCAGGCTGACTTATATTTTTATTTGAACATTTAGAAAACGAAAAATGAAATCGTAGAACATGACTACGATAAAACCTAGAGTTAGATCCTTACCTCGGATGAACTTCAACTTGTAAAACTTCATCGCCGACCTTCAAGTTCTCCGGTATCCTGACAAACTTCAGATATTCACCCACAGGATAGAAATTACAACCTGAAAACAATACAATTATTATTAAACCTAAACGCATTGTGACGAAAGATTTTGTAAATACTTATAGGTAAAAACTTAATACTCTTAATAGTCTAAACTTGACTGGTTAAATCGCAAAACAAGAATGTACATGCCATCCAAAACCGCTCGCAGTTTGCGTATAATTCTATATATCAGTAGGATGTTTCTTCCGCCCGCGGTGAGGACACACTCGCTACGAGCTGGCTTAAAGTTTGAATCTTATTATATCAACTTATATAGGGACAATGTAGCCATTATAATGCAACACCAAAAACTTAAATATCTTCCATGAAGACAATACTGCAATACTCCCATACAAATGAGTCCGGTCCTACAGCTCAATAGAGTCGAATCATTCATTGTTTCTCAATCGGCGATTGTCTCAGCAATACCGCTCTAGCTCTAGCATAGCTCCCATTCTGCTGTCACTGAACTAAAAAATATGTTTGTAATGATAGATTGGCTCATGTTCCCACTGTATATGATACAGGGTGAATTATATTTCATGATATATAGGCTCTTATAGATAAATATTTCCTCTAATAATTATTATATCATGCGTAATAGCGCAATATTATTACATCAATCCTACGTTTAACAGAACAGTAGAGACAGCAGTAGAAGTAAGATATGACTTAATTTACAATAAGTATGTATGTACTTCATATCCTATGTCTATTTTATCGCTAGGCTACGATACAAAGTATCTATAAAACAACATTATAGTCGAGTTAGCAACTTTAAATTAACAAAAAAAAATACCGGTTCTAATCGCCGCGACAAATTGATTTTCAAATATTTGAACAAAAAAGTATTAAAAAGCAGCGTGGAGAATTGACAATATTTGTTGTTTTTGAAAGAGAAATAATCATTGATCAGATCGATGACCAAACTTAATCATTACGTGCCTACTCTACTGTGACAACAAATTATAAGAAAAAAGTGTGGATAATTTTACTGTCAGTGAAATACGCTCAGTTGTGTCTCGTTCTCTTATTAAAATAAGAAAACAAAGAAATAAAAAAAAAACATGTTTTTGTATCACAAAGCACAATTATGTATCATAGAACTATAACCAAAGTTAAAGCGATTTTTTATTTGATTGATTAAATTAGCATCTAGTAATGTATATTAATAAATTGAAGTGTCTGTATAAAAGAATGAAAACCAATTGTAAAATTTTTGTCTATCTGTATGTCTGTCCGCAAGCTCGCGTTTGTTTATTATTATTACCTTTTTTAATTCGGCGCTGACGATTCGCGGCCGACCGCTAGTATTAAAATAAAAATTCATAACCCGTGACAAGTTTGCACAACACTAGCAATGTGCAGCAAAATCTAAAGCATCCGTAATAATTTTATTCGAAGAGCAGTGAAGTTACGGTATTGTAAACAAGAATTTTCTCATCCGATAATCGAAAATTTCGTAACAAATCGGAAGCTAATGGGCCGAGCAATTACGCGAACTTTAAAGACATCTATCGATCTCGATCTTATTTTTAAGAGAAGTACGGTATACAAAATAACCAAGATCTAAACACTAACTATATGTCTTTAACTAAGCTTACCACATTTAACAGTAAATCTAGCCGAGTCTTAAATGATGTCATATTACGTAGATGACGTCGTTTATTCTTCGCCGTGAGATCGTGCACTCATAAAAACGGACTCATCTACAGGCGCTGATGTGAATGCTATGGATACCGTAAGCTATGGGATCGTACCTGAGGCTAATCTAGCGGGACACATCCGTCCTGACAAGACAGAGCTGCGGAAATTATGCGGCATGCGTACTATATTCAAAATAATTGTGATCTAATAGTCACAAACGATTGAGTTTCGTACACAAATAAAATAGATAAACCGCTGGCTTGTTGAATTGCTATTTGCAAAATTCTAGTAAAGCTATTTTGTTTTTTTTAAACAGTTTTTCAAGAAATTCCACATTAGATATTTGCAATGAATAAATTTCTTAATTTCGACAGAACAAAACTGTTATCTTAATCTCACGTTGTACAGTTTCAGTGAAGGTTCTAGATTGGAGAACCACGGAAAAAGATTAAAGAAACAGAAAAGGAATGTACCCTGAGTCTTCCATTTCTTTGATTCCCTAAAGCAATATTCGCTTGTAAACGACAAATTAGGTAATCAAACATAACACGAATGGCCAATCTAACTACTATAAAGTTTATTCAAATTAAAAAGAAAGTGTTTAATTCATGTTACTGAGTACCTTCTGAATCATTTGTTAAAGCTGTGATTAATTATAGGCAGAGTATAAGCGACTAGGTTGTGTTTACGTCACGGGGACCACTTTCTACTAGCGACATCTGTCGGCCTGTTGACGATCGTCACTTTATCACCTGCATGCTACTGCTCTTTACCACTAAGTATACGTAATACGCGGTCAAACAACGTAGTATGTTATGTAACGATGAACGAGCGCTTTAATTTGTGACCTTTTCTTATCAGCACTTTCCATACTCTTTCTTAATTATGGTTTCGATATGAAGCTTTATAAAATAGCGGATTCGAACCCACGCCCATGTTTATGAAACATGCTTTATGTTTGTGTCAATCCAATCGCTTTAATTATAAAGAGTGTTTAATAAAATCATTAATCTTACTAATATTATAAATGCAAATGTTTAGATGGATCGATGGATGTTTGTTAGAAGGTATCTCCAGAACAGATCTTGCTGAATTTCGGCTTTGATGTAGAACATAGTCAGGAAGAACACATTAGCTTCTAATTTTTTTTTTAATTCGACGCGGACGGATTCGCTTGCGTCAGCTACTAATTTTATAAATAAAAGTACCGTTTCTAAATGTTTTATTTATTTAGTTACAGCCATGTCTAGCCCTACATTACCTACGACCGTTAGACCAATCTCGACAGCTATCGATGAGGGGTCTCGTTTTAAATTGTTACTTTGCGTCTATTATTTTGTCGACTTTGAGCTGAAGAGTTCCTGGAAGTTGTAATAGGTTATATAAATATAGAGAACGCCAAGAAAACTTTTCTCTTAACGTGCAACAATGTGCACTTTATACAAAACTGTTTCTACATAGTGTGTAAGTTATTCTTAAAACATTCAGTATCATTATAATTTCCAGAAAATGTTGTATATATTTATCATAAGTCTTGACGTAAATGAGAAATTGAGTAGTGAAATTACACAATACATCTTCTCTTGTTTTATTATGTTTTGCAATACTTTATAGAAGCTACATAAATTAATATCATAGTATAATCAAATTGTTTTATTATGAGATCAAAATAGACGTGAATACTATCAGATTGTGTGCAGTTTACAGCATTCATTTAATATCAGCTGAATAAGAAATATGTCAACGTGTACGAGAAATATTCATCACAGAATCTGTATCTTGTTAAATTAAATGTCAATCGTTTATTAATTATTAATGTGTCGATATATTTTTGTTAATTGTATGCCAAAAATATATTATGCAAGAAACGAAATCGAGTAAAAGTTAAGCGATTTGTATTTTACATTGATGGATCATTGGTTATACAATTTTATATAATTTATGTTAATACCTAAATATTTTGATTGGTTCGCCGGTAATAAATATCGGCTTTTAATTCAAATAGTTTTAAGCATGGTTAACCTATATGTTTCATCAACATTTTAGAAAAAATAGCTGTCGCGCGCGGAATTAAAAAAACTTAATAAGTAACCTATGTGTTTTAGACTTTGTTCTACATCTATGCCAAATTAGAGCGAGATTCATGTTGCCGTTCTAAAGATACCTTCAAACAAAACATGTATTTAAACTTTGGCATTTATGATATTAGTAAGTTAGTAATATTAATTTGAATTTTACTTGTCATACGATTTGTGTAAATGATTTAATAATATAGCGGAGTACATTCCGGAAGACATTTTTCGACTGTACCAGAGCAGAATACACAAAAATATTACAAGAATTCTATCAAATTCTTAGTGAACAATTGTAAACAAATAATTCGATAGATAAATGTTTTGTACTAATGTGCTCCACCTGTTGTACATTAGGTTAATGCAGATTTAATGGTGACTGAACATTTGCATTTAAATATAATTTAATATGTGAACCTTAACCCCCGGCCGGCGCTCGTAACTCGAGTGTAACAAATTATCAATCACGATCAAATCCCAGCCAACATTTGAATTAAACTTTACTCAACACTTATTTGGTCGTATTGTCGGCGACAAGTCAAGGCGAATTTAATATTGTATACATCTGAATAAATATATTTCAATGTTTAGTATTTGTTATTATTGTTTTTACTTTTTTAAATATCTTAGTAGATAAAAAATACATAAAACTCGTTATTTTTTTTATTTTAAAATCATTTTGTACATATTGGTATGTTATCAAAAAAAGAAAGCAGTATTGTCGTGCAGTATTCTATAAAAAAAAAACGTATGTTTATCTCCAAATTATCCGTATTTGTACCCGCATTTAGTTACCATTTCCTGTCACATTTCGTTGCTTTCTAAATTCACTAAAATATTTAATTAATGTCACGAAGAACGCCCGCATTTCAGTTATATAGTTTTAAAAAGCATAACTTTATTTTTATTGCACAGTATTGGTGAGAGTGTGGTCATAATTCTTTATAATATTAAAATGACGTAAGTTCATTGACTTCAGTAACATAATGTTAACGACTTACGCGTGATAATGACCTGTAATTGTAAAGTAGGAAGATATGAAAGTGCGCTTTTGATAAACGTCGAGGTAATACCTGAGATCATCTCACCTCGTCTGATGACTATGCAAATTATGTAATCGCGGTATGAAATAATGCATTCCGACAACGGTCAAATGGCTTGCGACTTTTCCTAAAGTGTGAACATTCATTTATGTAATTCCATTATGAACGTAGTAACGCATTATCTCGACTGTATCTTTTTGCTATAGTTTGGTTTAAGTGGTTTTGTACAGACAGAACAAGAAACAATATTTTACAATCACGATTTTGATGCAGTTCCAATTATTTATAAACTTTTACTAAAAAATTAATTTTTGATTTCGATAATGTCGTAAATGTAATAGGAATTAAATAGTTCTTATAACTTAATTTTTTTATATAATATTATTTTGTTTTCAATTCTACTAAGTTTTTTTTTTAATTAAAGAAAATATTTTAATCACATGACTAACACACGGACTGACATAACTTTTTGATCCATATTGTAGTCATCTAATGATTTTGCTGCGATAAGAATGTCAAAACGATATCGTACAGTTGTTTTTCTACAAATTACACGCTGTACCTAAGACATGGACTAGATCGGAATGCGCAGTGGTACGCGTTAAAGCTCAATCTGTAATATCTTTTTGTATCGGACACAATCAGGCGGAACTATCGCTTCCCACCGCGAGATGGCGCGGGGAGCGCGGGGAGCGCGGGGAGCGCGGGCGCGGCACACCACACGTCAATTCTCAACCACAGTTTCCCGCCTTTTTGTCGATGTCAATGACCTAGCCTAGCATAGCGGTCTAGGCTTGTAAAGATTGTTAGCATCAAGAAACTGTTCTTAATTAGGTCTACGCGAATAGATTTTTAGATTTATGACTTGATTATTTATTAGGTGATAAACTTTAACTAGCAAACAACATTAAATTTAAGTTGTTTTTATAAGAGAATTGATAGAAATAATAAAGTTAATAGCAATTTAGTTTTACTGTTTCAAACGGTCAGATAAAGGCATACAAAATATAACCGTCAAAGTATTAACTGAAATTTCGATTCAATGTCTCCTTTATACGTCGTACAGGTAACTTGACTCACCAACTCTCACTTACCATACATATAACATTCCAAATGTAACTGATCTACGGCGCTTTCTGTGTATTAGAACCTAGGTCATGAGCGGAGGTACCTTTGCAACGTGATAGGCATGCGGGGGGCGGAGAGAGGGGCACGGGGGGCGGCGAGCAACGCCAGCGAAAGTGGTGTGTCAAGCATGGCCAAGCTGGGATTACACACAGGGTTGCCAACTTTCAATTAAGATTGATCAGAGCACTAGCGACTTTAGCGTTGAGTTCTTGTGTCCTTGACGCGGACAGAAAAACGAAGAGATGACAACCCTAACTACAACTGGTTATGGATTAGCAAGTATTGATACTTGAAAACATTTACTTCCAATTAAACTCTCAAGTTGATTGGCAATCTTTAATTTTTATTTCGATAATTTATTGCTATGTTTCTTGTATTTAATTATTAACAAAATAAATGTTTGTATTATATCGTGTTTGATCTGGCATTTAAAAAAAAATTATAGTTTATACCGTTACAACGAGATATATTTTATTTACATTTTTTGTGAAATTTTATCCTTAAGTTATAGTAATAAATAGTGATTTATTGAAACAAATACTTTTGCTAAGATAATTATTTTATTCTAGTATTTTTTGACGCGTATTTTTCATAAAATATTAGTACTATTTGACATACATTGATTTTCCATAGTTAAGAAACTTTGGTCGTTCATTACAACAAGTTTTACAGGAAAGCTATTGACGCCCTTTCCGGTTGTGCCATCGCTTATGTCACATGGTACTATAATTGGCCAAAAATCACTCGTAATGTTTCTAATTGAAAGAAATCTTAAAACTAAAATAACTTACTAATGTATAAAAATTAAGCTGTAATGTTTTATTCCGTAATTTAGGTACAGCAGTTCAGCCGAATTCATTATTTACTTGCTGGGATTTCTTCGACTTCTTTTAATATTGTTTTTCTCAAAAAGTATATAACACAAAGACCTCAATCAATTCCATAAGTATTGTTCCAAATGCTAAGTAAGGCATCCCACGATCGACTTTACATAACAAGAAATATATACCATCAGTAACATCTTTATTACAGTCCAATAAAGTTGTAAATAGCATATCATAGTTGTAAAGCTAAGTATGTTTGGCACACGTACTGGATGTGAGCAACGCAGCAGTTCTCTAGTGTTAATTGAATGTCTCAGTGCAGAGAAACCCATGGGAGTTGTCAGTTATCTTACATGGTAACTCAGTGTAAGGTCACGCCATCAGGCAGTTAGTCTTAATACTGCGAATGTCACGTGTGTTCTAGAAAGTTTATGTATAAGTATGCTAGATAGGAGTTAATTCGTGTAATTGAAGCTCAAGTTTTACTCTGGTTGTTACTAATTGTAAAAGTTCTGCAATAATTTGTCATTTATGGCGTTGTTTTTAAAAGCGCTAACAGCTTAATGGTTAAGACTTGGGATATCCAATTACGTGGTCGAAGCTTGATTAAGAACTATTGAAATATAAGCTCCAAATAGATTATTTTTGTACCAAACAAAATCGCCATAAGTTATTTGTAAAGTAGTAAAATTTCCTTTTCAAATGAATTCATAACTCCTTGTAATCCGTCGTCTACATGTCAGAAAGTGACATCTTTTGTATGTTAATCGATGCGATTATGACAATAACGGACAGGAAGTCAAGTAACATCTTTAGTTCGGAAACAATGGAAGAGAAAACTGACCAAATACTACGACGTCATGTCTTGTATTATGTTAATATAAGAGCAATATTGATTCCAGGACACGAGGCATGCAACACGACTAAGCTTAGAGCGTAGCTATCGACTATATTCCCATCTTTCTCATTCACTATTAAAATACATACGACATTAACACGATTCTATACTGGTACAAAATTTACGTGACATTATTAACTACGAGTACATGACTTTCTTTTTAAATGTTCTCCATACATATAGTGCTTTAATTAATAATTAGTTATGTTCAGATGAATGTCGTTTGTTATGACTAGAGGTTAAAGGTTGATATTCAATTAGTAGAAAATAAACAGAGAAAGTTTAAATTTAAACAATAAATTTGAGTAGGTTCGATCCTTATGGTTTCCATAATAATTATTCATTGAAATTTTGAATCTTTTTTCCAACGGTTTATAGCGCGTTTACCCGTTAATAAAATAACTGTAGTAAGAAACATCTTCTCAAGAAAAATTAAAAGTGGGTTAACTACGTTTTTGGGGGAACCGTTCCGTATCGCTTCTGAGAACACCATGAATATGATGTTTAAATAACCACAGACAAGCAAGTAATTTGAATAAAATAAAAGTGTGCATAAAAGTTTGTAATAATACTAACGGCGGTAGTGAACCACCAATGGATTTCCATTTAGAATTTCCATAGATGTCATGAAGATATCCTCACCGAGGGGTTCGGGCTTACTCTAGTTAGTCAATTTTCCTGATTCAATGGGAGTCTGTTTTTACACAAATGTTTGAATATCCTCTCAAATATATGTAGTTCTATACATGTTTATTTGTTATAGGAAGGTAAGATTTGTACATTCCATTAAACACATTGTAACAGAGTTATTAAATAATTGTAGTACCGTGATATTCAAACCTAACTGGCAATTAACATAACTTTCCTCGTCAGTCACAGTTCAGTTAAATACCATACCGCGCACTTGACGTACGGGATTGAGCTCGTGAGATGCGCTCCACATATTTCTCAACTGTGTCGCACGATAAAAGTAATTTGAAGTATGTGCTCTTGGTCATGGTGAATTTGTACCATCAATTTTAAATTCCGACATTTCTTACAACCGTTTCTTATTATTTTAAAAGATATTGTAGTAAAGTTGTGAAATTGTCTTGCATTAGACGTAAAGCAGAGTTTTAAAAACATAAAAATGTTGTTAAAGCCAATGTTTGCGTCATCCGCAGTTAATGCTTAACTTAGCTATCAACTGCTAAGTGAAGGTCTATAAATATACAGCACCATTGCGGTAATCCGCGCAGTTGTAATAACATATAATCAAGTTGAAACAAAGACTAACTTAGATGATTATCATAAGTTATTTACATTTCTCTCCCGATGTCGAAGTCGCAATAACATAGGAACTAAAACTAATAGTTTAATATTGCAATTTAGTGGATTTGAATTTGTGATTACGGTTTCTTGTTATTCAAATTATTACGTAAAAAAAAGAAACTTTGAATTAAATTGGTTACCGAAGCCTTAGCTTGTAGCTTGTGTTAGCTTGTATAGGAAGATATTGAAATATTGATATTGCAAGGCTGTCATTTTCCTTAGATAATGTTGTTACATTGAATGGTTTAAATGAATATCGTTACGCTCCGGTGAAAGTTTTGAAAGCGCGTAATGTTATGAACTCTTGACCATAATTACAATTAAATTACTTGTAAACAACCCGCGTCGCGCATTTAACAGTTTAATGAATGCCTAATATTTAGTAAATGTGACAATTACATCGTATCATATGTAAGGATCATTACTTGTCAATGTAAATGATCGACCGTTGAGTTTGTAATCAAATGATATTTGTCAAGAAACCGCAGATAACAAAGAAAGTAATTTCGGAACGGTTTAAAATCAGCGACGCGAGAAATTTGTAAAACCAAGTGAAGAAAGTGTATCAAAAATCATGTTCGCTCTTTTCTACAGATTTTTCGCGTTATTATTAATAAGATTAATATTTAATGTAAACATTGTATTGCCATATTGAAACTGCATAATTTCCGTTATCTTATATATTTTTTTGGTGTTATAATTTGTAATAAAATATTTTTTCATTTAAACATATGTAATTATCGACAGTAGTTAATTAAAAACAATTAAAATTACATACCACTGGTGTGCCTCGTCGCAGTCGTCAGTAGCAACAACACCAACACTTTGACCACCGCCATCTTCACCTCAGGTCAGCTGCCGACACACGCATACCACCACAACACAACACAACACACGCACTGTCACCACACGAGCACTGTTCCTAATGTCATGTCATAGCGCGCACTCTGATGGTATTATTGATCTGAAACAAATGACATCATATTAGTTTTAGGGAAAAGGAATGAAAGAAGAGGGGAGATGCAACAAAACACTATCAAAATTTTACGTGACATTGGATTATTGTTTCGACTGATTCCCAAGTTATTGCAAAACATGGGTCGCGGGTTTGTACAGTCAGCGTCATATAGATCGCCACAGACAAGATATGCAAATATATAGGTACACCAAAAGTAATCAATTATATCGGTACAACAAAAGTCCTCAAAATAATAGATACATTCACCCTGCTCAAAAACATCGGTACATACACAGCGTCAAATATATGAGTACATGCAAGATGCTCATAAATATCGTAGCAGCCACAGCGTCATAAGTAACGAAGCAGTCAAGGTGTGCAAAAATATCGGTACGTTTGACAAAATTAAACTCTATCTCTATATACTTGTGATACAATTTGGAATAAACTACTTCTCTTACATTCATTTGACACTTTGTATTAACATTATAGGTTGTCCGGAAAGTTCGTTCTGATTTTTGATATAAAGCTTACAATAGACTGTAGCTGAAGTAGATTCATTTTCGGATTTTCACCATTATCAAACGTAACAAAAATTTCTATATTGTGAATAAATTCATTTCATTGGTTGAGATAAAAACTAATTTTTAAAATTTTATCCAATAATAAAAGACGTTTTAGGTATAGAGTCGTACCAATATAATTTAAAAACATTTCCAAAAATTTAAGAGAACAGGGTTTCAATTTTCCTTATAAAGCGGCACGAACTTACTGGGCAACCCAATATTTATCTTCTCCTGTCATAACGCTTAAATATAAAAGTTTGTCACGCCGAATATGACAGATACGTATTAACTAATATCAAATTTTGCCTTGTCACAATATATATAATACTAGTTTGGCGCAGTATTCTAGTATGTTTGCCGTAATATGTAAGTTTACCGGTTCGAATCTCAGGCTACTTTTTTTCATTTTATCAATCACGGGGTTATTTTTTCATAACCAGTAAAAATTTGGTAATATAAAATTTTGCTCGACAATTTTTTTTTATAATTTTCGCTGTCGGGTAGAAAGAAATTTAAATGAAGTTAACAACAATTAGGTCAGACCATCGCGGGTGAAGTGAGTGGGCGGAGCGTGGATTGTCTTTGCGGGTTTTAAGAATGGTACGCGCGGAAACTATACGTACAAGTGTTATCTACATATGTGTGCGCGCCCACGCACACCGGAATGTTTATTGCAATCGACCAAAAATTTGATGTAGTTTGGATATTGACATTCAGATTTTTTTTCTTTGTTTCTTAAATATAATCAGTATCAGTAAAAGGTAAAAGTAAAAGTGTTATTTTTACCGGTACAAGTTTAACAAACATGAGTAATAAACAAATTACATGCCAATAGCATCGCTTTATCTCCTTCATTTTTGTTTGAAATAGAAAAGTACTTTAACGGTCAAACTCATTAGTCCAAGGCAATATCAAAAAGTACCTAATAACTACGGCGATAGAGTTTTATTACATGTGCTTCGATATTAAAATTAAAAAGTTTAAACATCAAAAAAAAATAGTGGCTTGGGATTTGAACCGCCAACCTTACGTACCAACGGCAGCGAACGGTAAGGCCACGAGACCAAACTAGCATATATGATGACAAACTTAAATTTGATGTTGGTTTTATCTACCTAATATCTGTCATCCGCGTCGAACACTTTTAGTAAATTTTGAAAAATGGTTTGATGCAAAATGTCAAATGAATGTAAGAGAAGTATTTTATTCCAAATTGTATCACAAGTATATAGAGATAGAGTTTAATTTTGTCAAATGTACCGATATTTTTGCGCACCTTGACTGCTTCGTTACTTATGACGCTGTGGCTGCTACGATATTTATGAGCATCTTGCATGTACTCATATATTTGACGCTGTGTATGTACCGATGTATTTGAGCAGGGTGAATGTATCTATTATTTTGAGGACTTTTGTTGTACCGATATAATTGAATACTTTTGGTGTACCTATATATTTGCATATCTTGTCTGTGACGATCTATATGACGCTGACTGTACACCTCAATGGAGTTCATATTTTTGAATCCATAAAATTATATCGAATAAATAAAACAAAGAAGTAATAATATTATTTATTAATTGTAATTTAGGGTTCCGAAAGAACAGCACAGAAATTATTGTGTTAATTTCATTGTACAACCAGTTTTTATGGATGACTGATTTATTCATATTTTTCAGTCTATTTATTAAAGAGCAGTTCACGGATTAGGTTTGTTTTGTTTCTATTAATCCTTAAAAACCTGTTTGTATCATTGACGGAGGAAAACTTTTTTGCTGAACACGTAACATTCGCAATGCAAGTGTTCACGACTGAACAGTAAAAACTGGCTCAGACTGTACACGGAGATGTTACGACTGAACACTGATCGTTCCCCACGCATCTACATCTAACAATTAAAGGCACGCGATATTTTAACGGTAATTTTAACGTTTAGGTTATGTTTACATCCATTTATAATTTATCGATATATCGATTGTCATCGGATGTTCCGATCTAGATCAAAATATTTCACAATAATATTTATTTTCAGAGTACGTGTGTACGTTAATAGATATCTCCAATAAGTTAAGTTTCGAAAAGCATTATAAATAAATGTGTTTTCACACACATGAATATTGTACCATTTCATTTTATTGCATTTGTCATATTGTGATTTGTACAGCCGCAAGTAAGTTTCACTATCGTTCATCGCGACGGAAATATCATAGAACACATAGAAGAATTCAAGATTGATAATCAATAAATGTTTTACTTTGGTTTTACTTGCATTTTTTTGCTAAACGCGAATTCAAACGACGGAGCAAGACAAAAACTTATTTTAAAAAGTTTTTCAGTTATTAAAAGTCAAAACGAAGTGTCAGTAGACTTTTTTTGGACAGTATTACTGCTATTATTCTGACATTAAATATAAGACCTAAAGTATAAGGTACATCCACACGAGTAAGTTGAAGAGTAATGTTGAGCAGAATAATTAACTGGCCCGATGAACCGTGCGCGTAACGGAGCGCGAGCGGTACCGCTGGATGGCAGCACCGTGCCAGTCCCCCACCCCCGTCCTCCGCGATGCATCTCGTTATACGCAAACTATTTATACATAGTTCCTTGACAGCTTTCATAATTTTACAATATGTTTAAAACAAAAATAAAAAAAAAACTGCTGATATTTGTATTAAAAGTCGACAAAGTAATCAACATTGAACTGGCTAACTCCAAAATAACTACACGAGAATATTCTTCAAAACTTCAAACAACTAAAATAGAGTAGAAGTATCATATTAAACAAAATCTTTATAGAATTGCAGATGTACTAATATATTTTACATACGCATATCGTAATATTCGTAAATCTTGCTAATTGTTTAGAAGAGAGCATTGTTAGCGAAGATTCGCGGCTCCGTTACATCTAAAAAGTGCTGGCTAATGCCGCAGAATGAACAATCTTTTCCGGTTGTCTTCAATTAATTGAACAGATCTGCATTACGTTATATTATAACTAAGTTGCTTTCGAAGCGTAATTTGAAATAAAATAAAAGGAAAGCGTGATAGAATAATGTCGTAATAGCATTTGATTTGATTACACAAATCATTATTATAAAACGCATTACTTCTGTTTTAAATTGTTGTAGAATTTTAACTCGAATTTGCAATCTTTACTTTTTAAATTAAATTATCTGACTTCACTTAGACCATTATTATTTTCAAATAAAAATGAATTTATCTTAGAAGAAATTAACTTTCAATGAGATAATTTTAAGGAGAGAAACCTTGTTTTGATGACTTTTTATAGAGGTTTATTTGACCACGGCTAAAATTAATCGTGATAGAGAGTAAACGTAATTAGAAATTATATACTTATTTGCCCCTATAGTGTACATTTTTTTATTTTTTAAGTCATTTTCATTATTAAAGTTAAGGTAAACATTATTACCGAAAATAGAAAAATCAAACTTTTAATAATTATAACAAAGCTACAATTTTGAAAGTTACCTCTAATTAGATTTGTAACTAAAGTTCTATAATTAAAAAGAGGTTCTACGTCTAATTTAAAACAATTTTAAGACTTTCCCTTTACCTTTTAATTATGTAATAAGTTGTCGTATTAGCAGAACCTGATATTTAAATTCACTTCCGTTACAATCTAATCGATATGCCTTTTATTCAAAAAACCATAAAAATGTAACTTTGTTCGCTTTCTTTAGGCAGTTAAGGTCTTTTCGGTCATTATGAGGTCTTACGTAACTTTTTATGTTATTTCCAGTTTCCAAATTAGGTATTGAATTTGCATTTTTGAAATTCGAATAGTTTTTAAATTTCGAATAGGAAGTTACGCAAGATGTCAAAATATTTTTTTCTACTTCGGTTCAGTTTTTTAATTACGAAATTCGCGATCTTCAATTCAATTTTATGTAATGTTTTAATCACGCTTCAACATACATACATTGTTAAGGCATTTAAATGATTAATTAATGTAAAATAACATGAATTATTAAGTTTATACATTATTAAAATACTATAATGTAACAAAAAGCTCTTTTGAACTTAGGGTCTGTTTCACAATATACAAGTAAGTCCTGAAATAACCACTTATTAGTCAAATAAAGTAGTCATAGGTCATTTCACATTAACCAAACGCAAACTATTTTGACAGCTCGTTTAATATGGCGGTTAATTTATTTCATTAGTTATCCAGCACTTTACTTATACATTGTGAAACAGGCCCTTAATGTAATAAACTTATACGAAAAGTTATCGAATATTTATTTACTAGAGTGATATGTCAAACTAATCGTAGGCTTCCGATGCCAAATCGAAGGTACGAAAACATATTATGACTCTTTTCAACTTGAA